GTGACCACACAGTTTACAGGGATACTAATGATTTTAACCAAGCTGGAGTTTTTCCTTAAATATGATGCTGTATGCATTCCACTAGGCATAAAGAAAACTGTAGATTTTTGCTTGGTGCCTGTTCACATTAAACTTTCTTTTTAGTGTTCCAGCCTCTGTATTTGCTGTACACTCATCTGTTCTGGATGTGTTTTTGTTTTTGTAGGCCCTGATTGCAGAACGTGTTGGAAGTTATGAAACCATGGATCTCTTCAGACACACTACTGAGCTCAGTATGCACGTAAGTTATTGCTATTAATACAGTTTGCACAGAAAAAGGATTTCTATTTCTTGTCCACAGATGGATGCAGGAAGTCTTTAGCCTTTTGGTTATACTGCCTGCTACAGGAGGTCACTGGGCACTATAATTACCCATTTCCCACCAGCTCTTCCATGGCACTCACTTTTCTGCCATACAAAGTTGTGGAAGAATTTCCCCACTGCTGCTTCTGTTCCAATGAGCCACATAGTACTGTTGCCTGCCTAGAGTGTCTTTGGTCACTTCCAGCCATCTGACCCTCTGGTCATTGACCCTTCCCTGCTGCCATCTGTCCAGGTTTTTTGAGTACTTGAAGCCTTGAGATTGTAAGTTGTTTTGCTGCACTGTTGTCACAACATGTCTGTACCAGGTGCCCCGGCTTACTTTCTACTAATATTTCAGGGACTGCTTGCAGCACCACCCACTGATGGTGCTGACACCTGCAGGCTGAAATGATGTTGCTGTCTGCTGTTTGTCTCTTCCATTTTCAGAGTCTTCTTTAGCTCTGTCGAGTGTAGCTGGATCTTCTACCGCCTCTACTGGGGTTTTTATTATGGTCATGCAGGACATTATGACCCAGATTACCCAGTTATTTGCTGACTCTGATTCTGAGTCGCTTTCGAATAAGCTTACCGCTAAAGGGGTCACAGTTTACTACTTTTACTCCAAAGTTAAATAAGACCTTTGCTCTTAATGATGCAGTGCAAACCCCTAATAAACTAGAGCATCAGCCTGTTGCTTCTACCAGTACTGTTTCTAGCCATGGCCCTTATAGGGCCCCTGAGGCAGCAAAACCCATCCCCTTGCACCCACCGTTTCTTACGGTTTCTCTAGATAACCTCTGCGAGGCAAGTATCTGTACTGGAGGCCTTATCTTGCAAAGAACCCTTTTCGGTCTTGCATAGAGAAAAGGTGGTGTTGAGGCTCAGGACTTCTTTCTTGCCTATGGTAGTTTCTACCTTTCACCCTAACTGGTACATTGTTTCCTGCCCCTCTGTCAAGCAAAGATTCATCAGGAAGAAATTTCCTTCCATAGTCTGGAAGTGGTTTGGGCTGTGTGAGTTTACCTGTCAGCCACTGCTTCTTTCAGAAAGACTGATTTCCTTTATGTCATTCCAGGGAGTCCCCAGTAAGGCACTCATGTTTCTTTTTCCACCATCTCTAGGTGGCTCAGACAGACCATAGTTCAAGCTTTATGGTCTTAGGGATCAGATTCCCCCCTTTCCTGATGAGGCTCATTTTACTAGGTCTGTGAATGCTTCTTGGGCTTTTTAGCATCATACAGCTCTTTCCCAGATTTAGGCTTCCAACTGGTCTTCTGTATACACGTTCTGTAAATTCAAACACCAGCAAGAAAATACAGACATAATCAAAGAGCAAGGAAAAAAGGTTATCTTTAGTAATCAAATTCTGACACATTAAATTAGGTTTTGGCTATAAAAATATGTATTGTGTAGGGACTGCAGAATTTTTGTATTTCTTTATTTTTCAATAAAGACTTCTATTGGATAATTTCTAATTTGAATACTAATTTCTAATATTAAATATTACAAACAATGCAACAAAATGACTGAAGTGCTAATTAAATTACTGCATCAATCCTGAAGTAAAAGAATCCACTTACTGTAACTTAGTTTGGATTGTATATATGCATCCCATGATTCTTTTCAGTATCTCTAGGGGAAGCTGCAGGCTTTTGCCAATTGTGTGCTGATCAATCTCTATCCACAAAGTCTCTCTACATGCAATGTATCCTTTATTCTTCAGTAGGGTTGCAATATGAGACTGGATCATTGCTTTCTAAATGATCTGTGATGTGCATAATTATCCAAGCAGTTGCAATCATGCAGACAGAGGAGGCAAAATTAACACACAATACAAACAATGTAGAAGAGATGATCATTCACATGTCAAAAGTACAAGGCAAGATAAAATTATCGAGAGTGACACAAAAGGAAACTGATATGCAAACAGCAAACGCCTACGTAGGCTCTCATAGGTCGGAACGTGTCAATTTGAATAAAGAAAGAATCATCTGTGAGGAACAGGTTTTACATTTTAATATGCACAGGCAAAAAGAGTCCAAAGAAAGAATATACAGAGAGAAAAGCAGAGAGGGAGAGAGAGAAGAGAAAGAACGGGAAGAGGGAGAAAGAAGAAGAAAAATAAAGTGGGGGGGAGAGGAGGGAAGGGGAAGAGAACTATCATGCTGCTTTTTAATGCATACTGGCTCCTTTGCAGTGTCAGACGGCTGCTGTTCTTCTGAAGCTGTAAAAGTCTTACAAAATAATAAGTCATTATGTAAAGTAAAGAAAAGTGTCTCTTGTTCTGCCAAAAATCTAGTGTGCTCCCAACTCCCTATTTGGGCTGTCAATGCAGTGCTGCTCCATATGCTTTCATCCAGAAGTTTCTGATGTAATAATATGCATAATAAGCTTATTAAAATACTAAAGGCTGAAGTTGAGAATCTCTGGCTTCCAGAGTCTCACTTTTGGGATAAAGTGTTTGCAAAACACCCGGTAACCAAAGGATTTTAATTGGGGGTTTTCCTGGTTAACTGAAGCAGTGCCTGGATGAAAAACCTGGGCAAGGACACTATGGGGGGGTGATTTATCAAAACTGGAGCAGCTGTGCATGGAAACCAATCAGCTTCTCTCTTCAGTTTGTTCCGTTAAGATTTGAAAATGAAACGGAGATGCTGATTGATTACCATGCATAGCTGCTTCAGATTTTGCCTGCTCCAGGTTTGATAAATTCCCTTCTATGTCTCTTGTATGTTTTTTATGCTAACCGTTCAAGCTTTAAAGGCGTATCATTTACACATAAAGAAATTCATTTATTTTGGTTATTTTTTTTCTTTACTTTCACAGACAGAGGGTGCCAATGGATATGCTCACTGGGTCTGTACAACCCTGCAGGATAAAAGCAACAGAAATACAGAGCTGTATCGCTATAGCATATTGCAGATGAATGCTATCTCTGCAGCTCACCTAGCCCTGAACAAATATACAGGTAATATAGCAGTTTAAGTTGCCTTATACACCGATCTGCCATAACATTATGACCACCCGCATAATATTGAGTAGGTCCCCCTTTTGACTAGACCTCTGAAAGTATGCTGCAGTATCTAGAACCAAGCTGTCAGTAGCAGTTCTTTAAGTTCTGTAAGTTGTGAGGTGGGGCCTCCAAAGATTGGACTTATTTTTCCTGCACATCCCACAGATGCTCCATTGGATTGAGATGTGTAGAATTTGAAGACCAAGCCAACACCTCTAACTCATTGTTTTGTTCCCCAAACCATTCTTGAACCATTTTTGCAGTGTGGAAGGGCACATTATTCTTCTGAAAGAGGCCCATTGCCATGAAAGGGGTGTACTTAGTCAGCAACAATGTTTAGGTAGGTGGTACCTCTTAAAATAACATCCACATGAATGGCAGGATCCAAGGTTTCCCAGCAGAACATTGCCCAAAGCATCACACTTCTTCCGCCGGCTTGTCTTTTTTGCCTAAGTCCATCCTGGTGCCATCTCTTCCCTATGTCTGTGAAGGTTCTCATTCATACCGGGTCATGGTATAGCTGTAAAAAATAAGTCAAGGCAACTGGACTTGCTGTATTTTTCTTGAAATTCTGAATTGAGAAAGCTGGTTGGATGACCAGTGAAACGTCTTCAAGAAAAATACAGCAAGTCTAGTTGCCTTGACTTATTTTTTGCAGATATCTCTACCTTAGGTAAGTAACGCACTCCTACCCAGCCATCCATATGATTTAAAAGAAAACGTGATTCATTGGACCATATCACATTCTTCCATTGTTCTGTTGTCCAGTTCTGATGATGACATGCCTATTATAGATGCTTATGGCAGTGGCCAGGGGTCAGCAAGGACACCCTGACAGGTCTGCGGCTAAGCAGCCCCATAAGCAACAAACTGTGATGCACTATGTAAAAATGTTCCTGGGTGTGTCACTGTAAAGGTTTTGATGACAGCAGCAGCCAGACAACTAGCATTTCCAGCAAGAGGCCAACAATATTAGCCTGTATGGTACAGATTTCCTTTAGGAGGAATGTTGTTTTTATAATGAATTGCATTTCTTTACCTTAACAGACCGGATTCAAAATGATGCTGCAGCATTTGCTATGTTGGGATATTTGAATGAACACCTGAAGCTGAAGATTCAAGCTAAGGAAGCTTACCACCGGTAATTAATTTAGATCTGTAGCTATAAAGAACAAAGCAAGGGTACCCTTATAATTGACTGCTTTTAAGTAAAGAAGGGAATGTGTTACTTATGTTGATGTAGCATGGGCTTATTTATTAAAACTGAAGAGATGAATACAAAGCTACAGCCAATAGCAACTAATAAGCTGTTTATTCTTCTACTGCAAGCTAGACAAAAGCCAACACCAAATTGGCTATTACCTTTCCAGATTTTTCTCCCATCTCAATCTTTCATTCCTTATTCCTTATTTACCTTCATTAAAGCAACTAGGGATCTTTACATACACAATGCTGTGGATAAAACCTTATATATCTTAAAGGACAACATCTTTGTCCCTCTTGGCTTATACTGATCCAGCAATCTTACCGCCTATATGTACCCGGCCAGCTCCTCTTCATTCTGCGCATGAGTGCCATGGCCTCATTCATTCCTGTCAGGAGAGCTGTACCCCAGGCAACCACTGAAGGCCACTGAGGCCAAAGGTGAAGTTGTCCTTTTTAAGAATTTATATTGTAAAGCACTATGCAAACTGTTGGTGCTCTATAATTCCTGAATAATAATCATAATAATGTGTACCGGGAAACACGGTCATCTCCTCCCTGTTTCTTGCATACAATGCTGATGTATCAAAGTGTCAGTACTAAGATGTTTCTTGCAGCTACAAGTCACATTTAAACATCAAGCATCAGTGAACAGACCCACTCACCCCACATGTAATGAGTTCTATGGAACTTAGATTAAGGGTTCCTTTACACTGTTATGTGTTTCACAAAAAAAAAAAAAGTTTTTCATTCGGATGGCATGTGGAAGCAAAATAATGAATACAGCCTTGTTCTTGTTGTTTTCATGCAGTTTGGGTTTCTGTTAAAACACAGCCACTTACAAAAAGTAACAATTAGCCGCTCTTAGATTTCTTGTTACCTGAAATTTCTTCTCTGTCTCTCACAGGGCCGTTTCAATGCTTCGTGATAAAGAAGACAAAGAAAGCTATAACTGTGCACTTAGAAACTATGGAAGGTCACTCTGGTAAACCTCTTTTGTTGCACTGCTCTCTAAATGACGCCATTATTTTGTTTTGGATCAAGCATGAAAGGGGTGGAAACTCTGACAGGTTATTACTGTTTGTGTCCTCACTAGAGCTTTTCCCTCACTTCCTTCTCTATCTCCAAACGGGATACAAACAACAAAAAAACCTCAACTTCAGCTATTCATGTCTCTGGATTTACTTATTAAGGTTACATATGGTTTTTAAATCATCAACAAAGAACAATTAATAACTGGAGCTACAATTGTAGGTGTAGATCCTTTAAATCATATCTGAATTCATGCTGACACTGTCCTTCCGTCTGGAGGGTGACTACTTTTGTTCCCCATGGTCCCTGTATTTGTTGTAAAGTAGTCACTGCTCCAAGCTCACTCCCATGATGGACTACAATCTGAATACAAATTAGCTATCTAAACATGAGATTGAAGTCCATCATGAGAGTGAGCTTGGAGCGGTGGCTACTTTTCAACCCCTTCAGGAACCATGGGGAACAAAAGCAGCCACCCTCCAGAAGGAAGGACTGTGTCAGCACCAATTCAGAGATGATTTGAGGATTTACAGCTGAGTGATACACAATTAAGTTACATTTTTGTTAATAGGGTAAGTGCATATTTAAGATATAATTCCCGAGTTTAGCATGTTTTTAATTAAATAACTTTTAGGTTAATAAAACAATCTCCTACCAGGGTTTTAATAGACCTTATTGTGGACTTGCTTCTGTCCTCTAGAAATTAGGAAAAGGCCTTTGCAGTATGTTTACTCAAATCATATTCAAGGAAATCTGCCATTACCAAAAGCACATAATTCACCCTGTTGTAATAAATAAAGACTGCAACCTCAGCATACCATTTAAGTGTGCAGTGTTTCATGGATTCAGAATCCGAGAAGCGTGTAATTTGAGCTCACGGTCCTTGAAATCTTTCCAGGCAAAACTAAACCAAATAACTATAGCAAGTGACTGGGACTTCTGTTAAAATGTGTTTTCCTTTATATTAAGGCTGTAAATTGGCTCGCAATCATTCATTTATTTTAATCATCGCCACAAATTCTTGAGGAACTGAGCTGTACAGAGCACTGCATTCAAACTGTAGCAGGGATAATGAGAGATACTTCTTAGTCTACATAGCTGAGAATAGCCAGTGACAGGAGATGCTATTTATAATATAACAATATCCTGCAATGCAATGAAGATCATTCATTTACTGTATCTTCTTCTTTGTACATGCAGTTGCATTTCAAAACCTTTAGTAAAAGGTGTTGTGTTAACAAAATGTGGATGAAGTAGTCTTGACCTTCGCATTTGAGTTCAATGAGGTGGTCATTTCCTATACTTACTCATCAAATGTGAAAGCTTTCATTGTATTGACTGCTACTGTTTATAGTACACATGGAGGAAACATCAAAGTGCATTTCTTATTTCTTAGTGCGATAGGTCAGTATGATGAAGCCATCAAGGCATACACATCCACAGCGCTGACAGAGTTTGATGACCTCACTGGGCTGGCTCTTGCATACTTCAAAAAAGGACTTTTAAAGGACAGCATGAAAGGTAATGGTCACATTTATGACAGCCTCAGCTATGATGATGTTATCTGCTGTGCGCATCACTTCAGGCAGATCAAACAAAACACCATTAAATCCAGTTATGTATTCCTTTAAACAAAATCTGTAAAACTGTTTTTCAAATATAGCTAATATATGGCAACCTGAATCAGTTCCTTCACAGCAGGTGAGACTGGAAATGGCATCGACAGCATTGCAAATTGCACTATGCTGTAGGCTAACAGTGGGATGTTGCTCACAGAAGGAAAGTCTGCTGCAATTTTAAATATTTTGTGTGTGTGTATATGTGTGTGTGTAGATAGATAGATAGAGATAGAGATATATATATATATATATATATATTACACTGAGCAGCCAGATTATTATGACTACCCCATCAGTACTTCGTTGGGCCACGAGATGACTCCACGAGATGACTTTGTTGGGCCGCCTCGTGACTCCACGAGATGTTGAAACGTGGTGTGAGGGATCTGACACTGCACTGTTGCCCTTCTGTTGTCTTGTACCAATCTTGCCACTCTCCGTTCTCCCCTAACATTGACTAGTCGCTGACGGCCACAATTCGCACGTTCAGACCCAGATTTTCGGCTGACAGTCCAGACTTTAAACACTTTAACAACAGCTGCTCTTGAACATTTAACGAATTCTGCTGTTTTGCTGATACTCACTCCATGGCTCCGAGCGCCAACAATCATCTCACGTTCATAGGCTGTTAATTTGCGTTGTTTACCCATATCTTCAGAAAAAGAATCACTTCTACGGTCGTGGTAAACAACCTCCTTCCCTATTTATAATGGTCTGGCCCTCTAGCAACTTCAGCGCGAAATTATAGCTAATTATAGCTAATTTGCCTACAAACATCATGTGGTCATAATAATCTGGCCACTCAGTGTATATATAATTCCATTTTTGCCAGACCGATACTTTTCCTTGACGGTACCAATTACTTTTTTTTAAATTCTTGGTGATATGTGTCACGTGACAGTTTTTCTAAAACAATACAGACTAATGATTTTAGCTCCTCATTTAGGATTTAAGATTACTTGCCTAATATAGCAAGAAGTTCTATTATGCCTAAAGAAAATCAGGATAGATGAAACACTTGGCTTGGATAACATCCATCCACGCCATTAATATACGTTCATATGTTGAATGTATCAATGAACATAACACTGGTAGTCAACACATCAGTTTATACTATCTCCTTGTTTTAAAACAACCTTTTGACCTAAAATATAATGCGCTTCAGTCATCAGGCAAACACAATAATAACTTGTTAAAAAACATGCCTGTATGCAACATTTATTCTCAAGTTAAAGGGTTTTTCTAATTACTGACCATGTGGCAATGCTACATAACTGAAGGCAAGGTTATTGGACCAAGTGTTATATGGCTTTGAAGAGGGTAGATTGTATTATTTATATACATATAAGAAGAAATGACCCTAATTAGATTGTTTGAAGTAACATTATGTGTGTTGTTCAATCCCTATTCAGTAAAGGTTCATCAATATCAGAGCAATGGAAAGACCACACATTTTTATTTCCTTTTGTTAAAAGTTTCTGAAACGGCTGCTTTTCAAATGTACCTTATCCATCCTCTGTAAACCTTTTGAAGCTTGGTCCACATTCGCTGTTTTTTAATTGGGTCGTTAGATTTTAGTTATCTTATATGTTAATTAGACTTGCAAGGCTTAACTTGAATAGAACTTGTAAAACCCATGTTGGTACATTTCTTTTTCCTGACATGTAATTAGTGTACAAGACGGCTTTGTCGGTTGCAAAGACTGAGCAAGAGAAAGCGCACATCCTCACCACCATGGCAATAATTGAGTACAACCAAGGCAACAGCGATTTGGCCAAAACCATCCTGTTTAAATGGTAGGTAGTAAAATCTGATTTGTCTTTTATATTAAGAATACTAAATTGTAAGGCTGCAACAACTAATCGATTTTTAATTGATGATAATGAGAATCGTTGTCAATGATTCACATTATTGATTAGTTGATTGTTCGATTAGTTGTTTCATGGGCTCTGTGTCCCCTCTGTTCTTTGCTGCTCCCAGCGGGGATTGGAGGGGACACAAACCCCTGCACCCAAAGCTCAGTGGTGAGGAGAGCTCTAAAACTCTCTCTCCCACCCCCCATTGCCGCTGCTCTGCTTCCCTGTTCTCCATTGGGAGCCTCTGTGTCTGCAGCCGGCGTCCAGCAGGGAGGGGAGACCACTGTACCTCTGCATTTCGCCGTTCTGTCCCCATGCCTCCACTGCTGCCCTCGCCGCTCCTCTGTGCCCCCTCTTATGGCTTGCTCCCATCCACTGCCTGGGAGCAATAGCCAGCCTGCTATTGGCTTTTTTAGATTGCAGTAGCCAATAGCAGGTTGGCTATTGCACCCGCCTGCTGTCAATCAGCAGAGGAGGACCTGAAGGAGAACTTTGTCCTTCAGAACTTTCTCCAGCCAATATTCATGTCTAACTCTCTAAACTGATGACTGGGCTTTTATATTTTTATACATATATATAATTTTATATGTAATTGTATTTTTTTGTCCAATTTTGGTATGTTATTTTAATTAAATGTTTGGTTATATCATTATATTCGCTTGAAGTTTTTCAATTCAGATTATTTTAAATCCATGAAACTAATTAAAATGTCTAATACAATAATATAATGCAAACCGTTATTAAATTTTTTTTTAAAAGGTGGGAACAAAGGTATTTTTTTGGTTTCGCCCTGACAAATTCTGCTGCAGGATGTGCGTTGTGGTGCCATTCATTTCCATGGCACCATAAATGCGCCTCCTGCCCACAATGTTATCGCCTGCACGGGAATGTGCGCTACTGCAATGCCATGCATTCCAGTGCAGTGCAATCAGTCTCCGGCCACCTATATTAGGACCCGGAGACTGCCAGATGACCCCGCTCGGAGCGCCGCACACCGGAGCAGCAGTGACAGCGACGCTCGGCGAGGTAAGTAAGATGAAACATGGCGCTGACTCGAGTATAAGCCGAGGGGGGGCACTTTTCACCCAAAAAAATGGGCTGAAAATCTCGGCTTATACTCGAGTATATACGGTATGTGCATGCAGTTTTATTCTGAAGTAAACTTTAAGTTTGTAACACTCCATTTGTGTATTTTATTTTAAACAAAAGATGTTTTTTTTTTATTTTTTATCCAATCAATCGATTAATTGAAAACAATCGCTAGTTGCAGCCTTCTAAATTGGCATCTGCAGTATAACCAAGATAATTTTCTCATAGCTCAGTATAAATGTGCAAATCAAAAGGCAACTACATAGTGCTGGAGACCATAACTGACTTTCATTTGAAAATGTCAATGTACTTTGTTAGTACAAAGTTCCATGTAGGGTTTTGGTATATTAACTGTCTTTCAGCTCACAATTGTGGTAGAAAAGCCCAAGAGATAGATTTAGAGATAAAGCAGCACATTCTGTGTAAATCAGCAGGGACGTATGAAGCATAAAACAAACTGGCAGTAAAATCTATTTCTTGGGCTACATACCCAGGAGTGAATTTTCACTGGTGTATGCTTTTTTCAAAGTAAAACTTAGTTAACTGTACCAGCATGTATAAATGGAGGAAGTCAGATGTGTCCACATGTACATGATAAAAGTCAGATGAAAACATTTAGTACTATTTGCATTTATGACTGTTGGGTAGGCATTTCTAAGCATTGCTTCCATCTTCATTGTCTACCCTACCTGTGATAAGGCACTTATGTGTGGATGTCATCACCTTTCCATTTATACCTGTAGTAGCCATTTTTAATGAAATAGGTATTTTCATCTCTGCTAAGAAATTGTGCCGCACTCAATATGGCCGCCGCTTGTGTGGGGCAACTCAGAATATTAACGTGCTGGATTAGTGTGATCCTAGTTCATTTTATTACTTCATTGCTGTGCTTTATGTGTATAGGCCAATGCCAGGGATCCCAACCTGAAATAAGCAATTTCAGGGAGGTGTCCCTCTGTTTCAGGGAGGTGCCCTCTCCCCTCCCCCCCCATCCGCGGAGGTGGGGTTAGGGGGGGCTAGGAGAGAGCACCCCCCTTAAATGAAGGCAGATCGCACAGGAAGCAGTAAAATAATTAACGATTAATCGAGGGATTAATCGTTAATTTCCACAGCCCTAATAAAATGATTAAGCAGGTTGAATCTTTTACAGAGGTTCAATGTGCACGGTATAGGGATTGGGCCTCTGCAATGATGACTGAAAGAGTGTTTCATATAGCATATCTAGATATGTGTAAAAAATAAGTCAAGGCAACTGGACTTGCTGTATTTCTCTTGAAGACGTTTCACTGGTCATCCAACCAGCTTTCTCAATTCAGAGTCTGAATTGAGAAAGCTGATTGGATGACCAGTGAAACGTTTTCAAGAAATATACAGCTGCCTTGACTTATTTTTTACAGATATACCATGGCCTGGATGAATGAGAACCTTCACCGACATATCTAGATATTCATTGCCTTTAAAAATTCTGAAATCTGGTATTTATTAATACTGTTGTGTTGTGTGTAGCAACCATTTAGGATTAGTTATCCAGTATTGGGAATTCCGTAGCATAACAGAAGGTTAGCAAACAAATGAAGAAAGTAAGGCTGGCCATACACTGTTATATTTTTTCATTCAACCTTACGAGCGCTGATGGATGAATCACTCGCTGTCTCAGCCAAACGGTGCTTGCAGCTGATGGACTGCACGCATCATTTGTTCAAAGATTTTCCAACCAGCTCTTTCGATCTTCTGATCGATGGATGTCGGCCAGAAAGGTGCTGAACCAGCCGAGATTTGCATAGTCTATGGCAGCTTAAGTAATACTGAAGAATCATGTCCTCAAGAATCATGTAATTACAGTTAATTACACTTGAATTGCAGTTTAAACTGTATGACCTGTAATTAGGTGTACAGATGTCCTAGGACTGTTCATTGCACAGTGCATCTATCAGAATATTGTTCTTAAAAAATATATGTATATACTGTGTATAGCCTATATTGTGTGGTAGTCAAAATGTATTCTGTACAACGCAGCTATTTTGTTAATACTTTTTCCATATCTAAAATGTGGGTCGTTAAATAGGTTTGACTTTGGATAACTAAAGCCGACCATACACGTTAGTTTTCCTCATTCAGCCTGAGCTTGGATATGAGAAAACCACTTGATTTCCCCATCCACGCTAAACAGCATGGATGGAGGAATCTCTCCTGCCCCCTATTGTACACATAGAGCCGGAGCCAGGGGGTGTCGAAATATCTGAGCAATAACTGCTTCTGATTAGGAGCAGTCACACTGTTCAGCTGACAAGTTTCTACTACAAATTTGTTGAGCCAATTAGTGCTGGCTTGGCCACCCAGTTAGAATTGTGTTCCATTCCCAGGATCAAATTCTAACTGTGTATGCCCAACTTAACTTGTGGATTTGAGAAAAATTATAATATAGAACTGCCTACAAATATAAAATATGTCCGTAATGATTTGTCTTTGCTCTTTATCCACAGCTCCATGTTGAAGGAATCCAGCATCGAAAGTCTTCAAGCTCTCTGTGCTCTAGGGTTGGCAAAGCAGGATGTTACCTTGGCAACTGCCGCTCTTAATGAGTTACTCAAGCATGTTAAAATTAATGATAGCATGTATGAGAAATGCCTTATTACATCTGCCATATATGCTTTGCAAGGGAGGGCTATCGCGGTGCAGAGGCAGGCCTGCAAAGCTGTCCACAGGTATGGTCTAAGTTTTTTAAAGAATACTTTTTACTATCATGGTGGGGATGGGTGTTAAAGACTGCCTAGACATATTCAGGTACGGATCTTAAGATCTTCTTAGGTAGTTTGGAATTGCAAGTTTGCAAGGATGGCGGGGTCTCACCAGGGCTGCGTGCGGGGTCTCACCAGGGCTGCGTGCGGGGTCTGACCAGGGCGGTGCGGCCGGGCGGGAAGGAGGAGGAGATGTTCGGCTGGCCGGTGCTGTAAACAGGCGCCACGAGGACGCTTGTGTTTAAAAATTTAAAGCACTGGCATCGGCATTTTCACAAGTACTCACCAGGTAGGCGGGGGAGATGTTCGGCCGGCACTGTAAACGTGCTGTGAGGTACCACAAGTGCGGGAACTTACAGCAGCCGCTTGTGTTTAAAAAATGAAAGTGCTGGTATCGCTGCATAGTAAGTCACTGGCCTTGAGAAAGTATGTGTATAGCAGGTGTTAAAGGAGAACTATGAGGTGAGTGCTTTTCACTCACCTCATAGTTCTAGCCGACCTGTAACAATGATACTGTCACAGGTGGGCTCAATAGATCGGAAGGTGAGCGAACACATGCCGGTGTTCGCTCACTTCTCGATCCTGTCAGGGCTCTCTGCCGTGACAGGGGAGGGGATGGATTCCCCCCTCCCCGCTCCGATCCACCAGCGCTGACTGGCGGAACGGGAGGGGGCGGGTACAGCTGGCTCTGCCTCTAGATAGGCAGAGCCAGCTGTCACTCACGCAGCTGGGCGGATCTCGACATCGATGTCGGGGTCCGCTCCGGCTGGGGCGTCTCAGTATACCGCGAGCTGTAGCTCGCGGTATACTGAGCTTAGGGTGACGGGAGGACGCTAGTTTGTGTCCTCCCGTTACCCTAAGGAGAACTATGGGGAAAAGCCCTGACCCCACCTAATATACATGTGCTTGTTCTAGGAGCCTGACTTGGATAAAGATGACAGCCCAGGATAATGCACCTTACCCTCCGCAATGGTAGCTTCCGGATTACCGTTCTCACAGATTTACCTTTAGGGATACAGATCACCATAATTTTTGGAAATTTCTCTAAATTTTGGGAAAAATTTGGCTCTTTAGCTCTCCCAGCTTCAAATATCTATACAGGAGTAGGGAACACATTGCTGTACCTATTACAGTGCATGTCCTGCTGCTCCCAATAAGATTACAGCATCAGGCTGACTGAATGATTGTCCTGCCTGCGAATCTGCCAGCACCCAGTGCCTGTCCAGCCATGGTAAGTTGGGGACCAAGAGTTATGTGTATGTACATTTATCAATATATATATATACTGTATGTGAGGGTATATTGTGTGCATATACCGTGTTTCCCCGAAAATAGGACACTGTCTTATATTTTTTGTGGCTCAAAAAAACACACTAGATCTTATTTTCGGGGTAGGTTTTATTTTTTTTTTATTTTTTTTTTTTATGTAGAACAATCCAAAGTTAATGCAAATCCAAATTAAATAATCCAAAATGGCAAAGTTAAGAATAGAGTGATCAGGGCAATCAGGGGTGCCGTACCTTTCCAAGAGCAATTTGGTAACCAGAATGAGCGAAGCGCACTTTCACTATCGATTCCTCACAGGCGGAGTGCATTTGGAATCACTCCGCCTGTAACAGGAGCCGGTGCTATAGAGGAGGCATCGGCTTATGCGGCTCTGCTCCCTGCGCTGCCACCTCGCTTCCTCTAGCGCTGGCTTCGCTGGCACCGCTAATTCTCTCGCGGGGCTCTTTAAGTTCCCCCTTATGCCACCACCGGCCCTGGGAATGGTCACAACTAGGCCTTTTCTCTCCCGTTCATTGAAGGACACAGGCAACAGATCGTAGATCCTGAATGGTAGGGTAATATCGCCACCTGCAGGAGAAGAACGCTAGGCACAAAACTAAAGACCAATTACAGCCTAGGGGCGGCCCCTCCCGGTGGCCAAACCCCCCACCTGCTGACAAGTCTCCAGTTTTTTGCCTAGCGTCAGGAGTCACTCACAAACCAGCATGTAAAACAACTTGTCTCACCACTAAGGACAATGACAGAGGTTTGGATACACGTCTTCTGCAAAGGATGTGTAAGCCGCACTGCCGCGCCAAGGCACCTCTTATCGCGGTCAAGGGTGTCACCGTCGTCCTCGTGGTTCAGCTTCTAGTGGACGCCCCGTGGCCTCTGCATCCCGATCTTCTGTCCCAGGGTCCTGTGTTCCATCCTTCTTTACAGTCGCTGGCTTTGGCGGCGTGGCTGTTGAGAGCCAGGTCCTGAAGGACCGGGGGTTGTCCGATGCGGTCCTTCCCAATGAAAAGGATTTTACGGTGAGTACAAAATCCTATTATTTTTGAGGTAGGTCTTATATTTTAGCAATTCCCAAAAATGGTACTAGGTCTTAATTTTGGGGTAGGTCTTATTTTCGGGGAAAAAGGGTAATAGTGACAGCTACATGAGATCACAATAACATTCACTTACGTTGGCGAAGAAAGACACAGTTACAATGCACAGGGACATAGGATCTTGCCATTTGTGCTGGTATTGGTACAGAATACCAGTTAAATAAGGTATTAAAATAGCTATTGTAAAAATCAAACATGTATTATACTTGATATCTCTAATTCAAATGAAAAGGTGTTATTGTTGAACTAACGCTATTATAATAATTGGACTGTCTCTTTAAACCATGTCAGTCATGAGTATTTAGTATATTCCTGTTTATCTGATTTATTATCTTTTCAGCCACCCAGGCAATGCAGAGCTATGGACTCTTCTGTCAAGGCTGGTTCCCCAGTATGCTCCCAATAACGCCAAGGTAAAGATCACTGTCCTGCAGATATGGTCAGTGCTTTGTGAGCAGTAGGCGGTTTTCTGACAGTTTGATTTGTGCTCGTCCAGTGCGATTTTTATCCAGCACTGATTTGATGGTATTTCTGGAATCATGTGTTCAAACGGCTGTCCAACATAAATTAAAATTGTCATTTCTTTCTGACCCTTCCTGATCCAAGTCAAATAGAAGTTTAATGACATCCAGGGAGCACAGAACATCTCCGTACCCGACCTGATACAGGGGTTCATCTGTCATGATACAAGCGTAAAACTGACATTGCAATTTGATTATGATTTATAGACTCTTAACTATAAACTGTCTGTATTTTCACTGACCACCAACTGACAAAGAAAAATGCCAGTTAGGGAATGAAAGTTTCATGGTTATTGGTTCTATATGCTGAAATACAGAGAGAGTTTATTTAAAGTGACACTAAACTCAGGAGTTAAATCTTAAAAATAACTTTAAATACCTTAACTATCAACAAAAATGTATTTTATTTGTGTATCACTCAGCTGTAGATTCTCAAATCATCTCTGAATTGGTGCTGACACTGTCCTTCCTTCTGGAGGGTGGCTAATTTTGTTCCCCATGGCTCCTGTGATGGACTACAATCTCATGTTCAGTTTACTAATTTGTACTGACATTAATAGTTCATCACAGGAGTGAGCTTGGAGTGGTGGCTACTTTGCAACACACACAGAGACCAGGGGGAACGAAAGTAGCCATGTTTCAGAAGGAAGGACAGTGTCGGCACCAATTCAGAGATGATTTGGAGATTTGCAGCCCAGTGATACATTTTTTATTAATAATTAGGGTACCTGAATGCATTTTTAAGGTTTAACTCCTGAGTTTAAGCTACAATGATGATCCAGGCCAAATATGAATTGTGGGATTCTCGGTTTGCTTTTATTTTCTGGTGTGGTTTAGATTTTCCATTACCATCCTTCTCTGCTTGTATATCGGTTTTGCAGTCTAGGTTAATTGTTGGAATTAATTAGGATTGATAACATCAAGAAAAGTGTGAATACAAATAACCTCAAACTCATAAGTTACATCCAATATATTTTCTATAGCAGTCATGAAAAATCACCATGCTCCCTCTGCTGTCTGGTTGCTGTTACTATAGTTGGTGTATTCTCAAAAGTATCACTTGTGTTTGTGGCCGGGCAATAGAGCAAGAGTAGTCAACCTTGGCACTGCAGCTGTGATAAACTACAAATCCTGTCATGCCTGTGGCTGTGAGAGTCTTGCAATGCCTCATGGGACTTGTAGTTTCACCACAGCTAGTGCCAAAGGGTGCCTGCCACCCTACATTATGCTTGATCAGAAATGTGCTCACTTGGTGGTTTTCATCTGGTCTTATGGTATACCACCCAGAGTCAGAATGAACAGTATATCACACTGCGAGAAATACTGGTAACATGAAAAAGGAGGTTCAGGAGCAGGTTTTTGTAGGTCATGTAGCGGATTGTGGTTACTATGCAAAGACCTGGCTTTTTTTTAGTCTCTTTTATTCATACAGAAAATATATTTGTTTTGTGTTACTTGGTGACTTGGAATTACTAACAGTAACCCTTCTTTTTTTTAGGGTGGTGCAGTCGCAGGCATTGTTGCGCAGACCATAAGCCTTAATCAAGCAAAGGTGCAAACCTGTTTTATTTTTTTCTAAAATGTTTTACAGTAAGTGAAAGAAACTGATAGATTCCTCTCTCCCCCAGAAATCTCTGCTGTATACTGCAGTAAATGAATTAGGAGCCGGGACTTTGACAGTTGAAAATGAGAAGCAAAATGCTTTGAAATCCTTGCAAAGAGCCGCACGTTTCTTTCCAGGTACTTTATCTACAATGCTGTATTTGAGCCTGATAGAGATTTATAGAGCTCGAGAGACCAGATCCAGGCCCCCCACACAGCAAAAGATAATTTGTTATCATAATAAATTGCTGGCTGCAATGAGCTAGCAGTAGATTACTATAGCAGTGATCTGTTGCTGCAGAGAGACTCTGAACAGATCTTCAACAGCTCTGTCTAGGCCTCCGTACTAAGAGGAAGTGCTGTGACCTCACATCTTTTCCAAAGCTGAAACATTGTGTTTGCAACAGTCTACTACAAGTGCTCCTGTGGCACCTGTCTTTTTTGCTCCTGTGCTTAGTGCTGGAACCAACCAAGATCTGTTCTCCCATAGAGCCTCCACATCTACAGGTAAGGTGCAATATATGACATTTTTGTCCTTGGGCTTAGATACACTTTTATATATACTGTATACATACGTGTGTTTTCCTTTTCTTATGGAAATGTGGGTTTACAATGGGCATTTTCAGAATATTGTTTTAGCTTACAACAATAAATACATCACAAAGTGGCAACTACACTGTAAATAAAACTGAAAGAATAGACTGACAGGAACTGACCTTCTTTGCATTATGTTGTTCATTAAAGTGTATGTAACCGCTAACAATTAACTCCTCATGTGCTCCCTTTTGGTCTGTTAAAAATACCATTGCAAGCGTTTGTTTGATTGATTAATGCAAAACATACCTGTTGATCCAAGGAAACTTGTGAACTGATGACTTCCTGTTCTCTGTGCCTCTGCTGATTGTTGACATTTACCGTTGTTCCCAGTTCTCTGTGCGGACTACAGAACACCTCCTGCCTATGTTATGGAGAAGAGAGAGGTGGGTGTACTGTAGTCCCAAAACCATTCCTCTCCAAGGGTTGCAACATTGCTGCTACTTTGGCATTGTCACCCAAGGACGAGAACTGTTACTGGCAGTATCATCAGGTGAAAAAAAAAGGAGAAATAGCCTGAAACAGGAAAACTAATGCAGACACCTCATTTTAAAGACTGGTAAGCTGCAACTAAATATATTATTTCTTGGGTTTAGATGTACTTTAATATACACTATATTGCGAAAAGTATTGGGACGCCTGCCTTTACATGCACATGAACTTTAATGGCATCCCAGTCTTAGTCCGTAGGGTGCAATATTGAGTTGGCCCATCCTTTGCCGCTACAACAGCTTCAACTCTTCTGGGAAGGGGTCCGCAAGGTTTAGGAGTGTGTCTATGGGAATGTTTGACCATTCTTCCAGAAGCGCATTTGTAAGTTCAGGTACTGATGTTGGACGAGAAGGCCTGGCTCGATGTCTCCGCTCTAATTCATCCCAAAGGTGTTCTATCGGGTTGAGGTCAGGACTCTGTACAGGCCAGTCAAGTTCCTCCACCCCAAACTCGCTCATCCATGTATTTTATGAACCTTGCTTTGTGCACTGGTGCACAGTCATGTTGGAGCAGGAAGGGACCATCCCCAAACTGTTCCCACAAAGTTGGGAGCATGAAATTGTCCAAAATGTCTTGGTATGCTGATGCCTTAAGAGTTCCCTTCACTGGAAATAAAGGGCCAAGTCCAACCCCTGAAGAACAACCTCACACCATAATCCCCCCTCCACCAAACTTTACACTTGGCACAATGCAGTCAGGCAAGTACCGTTCTTCTGGCAACCACCAAACCCAGACACGTCCATCGGATTGCCAGACAGAGAAGCGTGATTCGTCACTCCAGAGAACACGTCTCCATTTTTCTAGAGTCCAGTGGTGGCGTGCTTTACACCACTGCATCCGACGCTTTGTATTGCACTTGGTGATGTAAGGCTTGGATACAGCTGCTCGGCTATGGGCACCCATTCCATGAAGCTCCCTACGCACTGTTGTTGTGCCAATCTGAAGGCCACACAAAGTTTGGAGGTCTGTAGCTATTGACTCGGCAGACAGTTGGTGACCTGCGCACTGTGCGCTTCAGCATGCGCTGACCCCGCTCTGTCATTTTACGTGGCCTACCTCTTGGTGGCTGAGTTGCTGGTGTTCCCAGTTGCTTCCACTTTGCTATAATACCACTAACAGGTGACCGTGGAATATTTAGTAGCAAGGAAATTTCACGGGTGGACTTATTGCACAGGTGGCAACCTATCACGGTACCACATGTGAATTCACCGAGCTCCTGAGAGCGACCCATTCTTTCACAAATGTTTGTAGAAGTGTCTGCATGCCTAGGTGCTTGATTTTATACACCTGTGGCCATGGAGGTGATTGGAACACCTGAATCCAATGATTTGGAGGGGTGTCCCAATAGTTTTGGCAACATAGCGTATGTATAAATACTGCATTTCAAATGTTTGTAATGTTGGTATAATATTATCACGATTAAACTCAGTGAAGATAATTTTCCTTTTGAAATGATTGGTTTCTGTGGACATGTCGTGTTGTAATGTGTTGCTGCACTGCCCTCTTGTGTTTACTAGAGATTTAACATGTCTGACGTATCTATCCATAAGGTGAGTTCCAGGAGATAGCCTGGAACAACGAAACACTCACTGGGGCCTGCTTTATACATACTGGATGTACTTGGCTCACTGAGGCCTGCCTTTTACATACTGGATGTACTTGGCTCACTGGGGCCTGCTTTATACATACTGGATGTACTTGGCTCACTGTGGCCTCCTTTATACATACTGGATGTACTTGGCTCACTGAGGCCTGCCTTTTACATACTGGATGTACTTGGCTCACTGTGGCCTGCTTTATACATACTGGATGTACTTGGCTCACTGTGGCCTCCTTTATACATACTGGATGTACTTGGCTCACTGTGGCCTCCTTTATACATACTGGATGTACTTCACTCTCCATGGCATGCTTTATACATTCTGTATGTACTTGGCTCACTGGGGCCTCCTTTATACATACTGGATGTACTTCACTCTCCATGGCATGCTTTATACATTCTGTATGTACTTAGTTCACTGGGGCCTCCTTTATACATACTGGATGTACTTCACTCTCCATGGCATGCTTTATACATTCTGTATGTACTTGGCTCACTGTGGCCTGCTTTATACATACTGGATGTACTTCACTCTCCATGGCCTGCTTTATACATACTGGAGGCTTATATTGGTAGTGCAGTTGAATCTTTTTGTAAAGTGTATCTGTCCAGACTATGTTAAATAACACTATTTTTGAAAATGTGTTTTTTTTTTCTTTGCAGATAATCCAGCAGTTTGGGCTGGATTAATGGCTGCCTGTCATGTGGAGAATACAGCTTCCTACATCAATAAAACACCAGCCAAAGGCGCTGGACGCAATGTGACATTTTTAGCATCTGTGAAATCCAAGAGTAAGTACCCAATGTGACAGAAGCATCTTAAAAAGAAATTTTGCCAGCAACTATACATCTGTCTTATCTATGCATCATATGAGTGTACTTCAAGAACAGTGAACGTACAGAAATAATTTTTTTTTTTGTCCTTGAAATATTGACCAGTTACATTTTATAAACAATGTTAAGGCCCCCATACCTGCACCAAAATATATTTAGTATATGATATCTCTCCGGTACTTGCACATATCTCCAGTTCTGTAGTTTAAATTTAGGAGCTAGCTATTCCACTTAATTACAGTACAATGAATGAGCAATGGCACCCTAGGACAGGATGTGCGTTACTGGCAGGGTCAGCGGTTGAAAATAAAGGGAAAAAGGCCTAAGAAAACTATAGCAGTCACAACATCAGAGGACTGATAAACTGCAATATATTACTTGTTTGTTCTTTTGATTTGATACACTTTAATCCACCATTTTGAGGCTGAAAAATAGACATTTTGAGCAATGCTTTTGTTGCAGAAATAGACAAATTTGTCTGGAGTTTTGGAGCCGGGCAGCCTAGGAGATAAAATGGCCAGTCGAGCGAGCAGGGTATATTTTCTTCATTGATTATAGTATCAGAGGTCTGGAAAATCTTACTCTGCTTCTCTAGGCATATAGCTTACCTTGCTCTAGTTCTAATAGTTACTTTTTGGCTTTAATATACGGAACATGTATACATGTAGGTAACGTATTGGTAAAAATAAATACTGTGAGGGTCAGCTTGTAGTGTAGAGCTCACAGAGAGGTAACCAAGACATCATAAGTATGGGCTCCTTGTCCGCTTTCTTTCTCCACAGAACAAATTAAACAATGAAAGTTGACCCTTGCAGGGGTGGTCAGAGAACAAAGCTGCAACATGAGTCTTGTAGCCAGCTGATGGATCAACCTTGTTGATCTATCTAGTCAGCACCTGCTCACAGCACAGACTGAATCCCTAATACCCAGCCTCACATTACTAATTTCTTTTTTTTTTTTTTTAATCATGCATACAAGGATGGTCCAGCTATTAACCCCCCTGACCTCTGTACAACAGTCAGACTGCAGGGAGCCAACCCATCTATCGGATAAAACACAAGGTTCTAAGTGGCACATACACCCCCATGCTGGATCATGCCCTTGGTCTACTGGGGCTATTTAATACAATACTAACACATGTTATTTCTATTGAAAGAAATAGATTGTTCAAGCTTAGAGACCCAGTCACCAACTTTAAAAATTGTGGTAAAAGCACAGAAAAGTCAAGTGTTTGAATTGCTTACTTGCTGCATTTTCTTTTCCATAAATTATTTGTATTGATTTGCAATGTGTCTATTGAACTTGCAAGCAAATTTCACTCTTTTAAAAAGAGTCAATTCCCAAGCACAGCCGCCTCCCTCCTTTCATAGTCCTCTCCTTTTCTGGGAGTGTCTAATTACTTTCTGAACTGGCCCAGCTCCTCCGACCCTCCCCTTACCTCCCTTTTTATGTAGCTGCCAAGGGAAATATTATAGTTTTTCATTTGAGTAAAAGCTCTGAGTCTTTGAGGGCTGCTAACATAACATCCAAGATAGTGGTGCCCAGCAGAAGTCTCGGGGGATTTGTACATCTATACAGGTGGGGCTTTTACAGGTAAATAACATACATAAACTATATTAATACACATTTAATCTTATGGAAAGATTTTTGTTGAAATTAATGGTTTAGTGACAGGGTCTCTACGAGTGGAATAAGTCAATGGCAAAAGTTTGAATTCAGAAAACATTGGAAAGTCTTTAAACAGATTTTGTTGTACCAGTATGCTGACATCTATTGTACTTTCTACTTTTAATCAAAGTAGACTGTATTGTTGAAAGTCAGTATGTCTATATCTGTCTATGAAGTTTGATACTTGAGTACCAAGTACAATAGAATGGAGGCTGCCGGATATAAATTGCAGTTATTCAGAAGCTGTGGTGACTAATCCTACTGGAAGGTTTTTCTTATTTTATACTCATTGATTACCATGAGTCACTTCACACATTGTATATATCTCGTTTCTGCAGCTGAAGCAATGAAGCAGATTTCTGCTAGTTATGCCCAATCCTTGGAGACCTGGTCATTGTGTCAAGCCATTTCTTCATTGAAGGATCAAGATAAACTTTCAGAGGCTGAGACTTTGTGCACAAAGGTAAAATGCCAATCTTATGTTAATATATCATTTTTCCTGAGTATTTTGAATGGAAGAGTTCTTCCACTTAACTTGTACTTGTCTTCTTACATCTGATTGGTAGGTGGTGGTAGGTTTGACTCAGAACTCCACCAATCATTAAATACATTCAGGTATTTGTCCTTTATTTGAAAAACACTCGCATTCCTAGGATTTTAGACATTTTCTGAACTTCTCAGCCTAAAACCTAACATTTTAATCTTTTTTCTCAAAGGCCTCATTCACGCACAACGCAAGCAAAATTGTATATTGCATATATGCGCGTATATGCGTGCATTATATGCAATCCCAGAATGCATCACTCGTAATGGAATTTTTAATGTGCTGTACGCATGTACGCGCGTAAACACCCGTATATGCGCGTAAATACGCTGCCCGGACGCATCTCTGTTCCATTCTGTTTTTGCGCATATATACGCTACGCAAATATACGGCTCTATACGCGGCTATGTGTATGGAGCCATTTATTTGCATAGGTTGCATATGGCACAATACGCACATATACGTGCGGCAGTGTGAATGAGGCCTAAAAGTGGTCACCTGGCATACAATGCATTACAGTGGTCACCTGGCATACCAGCATTACAGAGCCCCAAATAGCTCATCACGTACAGTGTACGTGAGCAGTCAATTGGGCACTTCGCGGCGGGACGTACAGTGTACGTCTCCCGTCACGAAGGTGTTAATCAGCATTGTAAATAGCTTTAAAACCTTTTGACTTTAATATAATTTTGAGGTTTATTTCTACTTTGAAGTAGACCTGGTCTCAGATTTATGTTTTACAGGTTAAGTACATGCATGCTAAATGTGTGAGAAGTAAAAGCTACCAATACGGGTTACAATTAGAGAGAGCATTGTACTGCAGCTGATCATGCCTTTATCTGCCTTTAGCTCCAGAAGGACAGAGCCAACTTTTTTCAGGCATTATCCTTGGTCATTATCTACTTTCTGGACTGATATGCTGACTCAGAGATGGCAGTCTTGTAAATCCTGATATAGATATATATATA